GGAGGATACAGAGGAGGGTGTGAGGAGGTGCGGAAGAGCTGGGAGGGAATAAGGATGGCATGGCCGTGTTTGCTGTCTGCACTTCCGATGGCCGTCTGGAGGCCCTGTGCAAAGAGAAGGGTGGTGTGGCAGACCCCGCTGTGCAGGGAGGAGGTACTTTCGAGCCAGCTTATCTGGAAGGAAAGTGCAGAATAGTTACAAGAAAAACCCTCCAGGTTTACAAGCAGAGTAAAATCCAAATTTATACATTTGGGGTGGAGGGGGGGAACAACAAACAGTCATGGAATCATAGAAAGGAGGGCAAGGAGAGACTTAAGAGGTCAACCACACCATGCTGCTGCCTGAAGTCAGGATCATCTCTACTTAAGCCATTCTTGATGGATGTGTGCCTAATCTGTTCTTAAACCTTCAGTGGTGAAGATTACACATCACCCCAGGCGATCTCTTCCAGTGCTTAATTATCCTTACTGTTAGGAACGCTTTCCTCTTGCTTAGCCAACATTTCCCTTGTTACAATTTAAGCCTATTGACTCTTTTCCTATCTGCAGTAGATGCTGAGGATCATTCATTGCTTCCTTCTTTGCTGTGTCACATTTGGAGGCTGTGGCTCCTCTTGGTCTTCTAGCTAAATAAACCAAGTCCTTCATCTGTCCTCATGGAGACCTTCGCTGCACTTTTCATCTCTTTTCTCCTGACGGTCTATCTCTTTTCTGAAGCAAAACACAGAATCACAGAATGGTAGGGGTTGGAAGGGACCTCTGTGGGTCACCCAGTCCAACCCCCTGCCCAAGCAGGGTCACCCAGAGCAGGCTGCACAGGACCGTGTCCAGGCAGGTCTTGAATATCTCCAGAGAAGGAGACTCCACAACCTCCCTGGGCAGCCCGTTCCAGGGCTCCGTCGCCCTCAGAGGGAAGAAGTTCTTCCTCATGTTCAGCTGGAACTTCCTCTGTTTCCCCGTGTCCTGTCGCTTGGCACCACTGAAAAGAGTTTGGCCCTGTGCTCCTGACACGCAACTTGAAGATATTTCTAAGGTCCCCTCTCAGCCTTCTCTTCTCCAGGCTGAACAAGCCCAGCTCCCTCAGCCTCTCCTCATAGGAGAGATGCTCCAGTCCCCTCCTCATCCTCGTAGCCCTCCTCTGGACTCTCTCCAGTAGCTCCTCATCTTTCTTGAAGTGGGGAGCCCAGAACTGGACACAGTGCTCCAGATGGGGCCTCATTAGGGCAGAGTAGGGCAACACCCCAAATTCCATCCAGGATTGCAGCAAAGACATTTTCACTTGGGATTGGTGGACCCCTTGATTTTTGGGGGAGAATTTGGGTGCTTTTCGTCCTTCCCCAGACTTGGGAAGCAGCATTTCTGCTAAAGCAGGCGGGCTGGGAAGCGGAGGTTACCGATAACAGCTCCGGCTGTCATTCAGTGCCTGCGCGACACGGAGCCGTTCGTGGGCGTCAGCAGGGTTTGGAATAATTGTCTTCCCTAATTAACTGGTTATCAAACAAGAACATTTCATTATGGTACAATTACTAGCTGCTTTGCTGAGACACAGAGGTGTCAGGATTACGATCCCAACATATGCTTCTTACAGCTCTGATTTTTTGTTTTCATAATCACTAACCATTTTTGCTCCCCCCTCAGCCCACCCACTCGCTTAATGACTAATGAATCCTCCTGCTAACGAATAAGGAAAATAAATCAGCGGGCATGGCAGGTTAGAAAGAAGAACATGCAAAATGTTTTGAGGATCCTTAAATCTGATAAATTACTTTGAAATTAAAATCCCTGGGAGAAAATGGGATTTAATTAGAAAGTAACATGGTTTTGTCAGTGTTTAAATTAAAATTTTAAAGGTTATAAACACTGCACTAAAGCTGCATTTAGAGAGAGGCTTCGGGAGCAGTTTTGTTCGGATCCGCTCTCTGCACGTCGGCGCTGCATTTCCCCGGCGGCAGGCTGCGGGGTCCCTGCTCAGTGTCCTCGGCGGAGCACAGTGCGGGGGCAGAACGGGCAGGACTGCAGAAGTCCCAGCAGGAGACTCTTAGGGATGGGTTTTTACCCTTGGCTTTGGAAGGTGGTGAGGCCCTGGCCCAGGTTGCCCAGAGAAGCTGTGGATGCCCCCTCCCTGGCAGTGTTCAAGGTCAGGTTGGACGGGGCTCTGAGCAACCTGGGCTGGTGGAAGGGGTCCCTCCCATGGCAGGGGAGTTGGACTTGATGATCTTTGCAGGTCCCTTCCAACCCAACCCACTCTGTGATTCTATAGTCGCAAACCAGCTAGCCCACCAGGGACCTTCCAGAGCTGGAGAGAGCATCAGGGGAGCATCAGAAGAAACGCTGCCGGGGCTCGCCCTGCGACCCTGCCCTGTAGCCCTGCTCATGGCCAGGGCTGGAGCAGGGGTCTGCCCCAGCAGCACGGAGGCTCCTCCTCGGAGCGATCCCCCTCTCCCTTCCAGAGGACTCAGCCGCGCATTCCAAACATGAGTGAGGCGCAGCGCTGTCTGAAAAAGGCAAGGACAGCTGACGAGTGGAAAAAAAAATAGGGTGTAGCAGAAAAAACAAGTGATGGAGCTGAAGACAGGCACAGAATTTATTGGGTATTCATTTATTGGTATTTAGGTTAAGGAAGTCTCATTCACCTGCCCTCTCACTGTCCATAAATTGCAGGTTTTTCTCCAGATAAGGCTTCCTAAAAATTGAATTCGTCTCTGCTTAGCTGTGCACACTTTGATTTCCTACTGTCCCAGATGTAAAAACAAAAAGCAAAAATGCTCTTTCTATTTTGCTGTTACGGGGCAGGGGGGGGAAATGTGTTCTCAATACATCAGCACCCAGCTCTGGCCACTGTTACACCAGCCTGAGACACAGAAATGCGAATTGCATTGCTGTGCAGGCATCAGGTCCCGCACCGAAGAGCCTCTTTGAGCAGCCCTGCGTTTGGGGTCAACGCGGTGGCGGTGGCCCTGGTGTCACCGCGCCGGGCTGCGGGCAGAAGGGAGGCGAGGGTTGTGGAGAAAGCAATAGCTTTTATTAGGGGAACTGATACAGTTTGAAGAGATAGTTGCTTTTCACAGGCAAACTCTTCTTCAGGCTGACATTTTGAAATGTAATTTTGCTCTGAATGGAGCAAATAGAATATCTCCTGAATGCCATAAATCCAAAGACAAACTCAGGAAAAACTCTCTGTTTCGGAAAATTACCATCGGAGACGTCCAGCGTGTCAAGTCAGAATGTTTCATTACAGGAATCGCTCTGATTTAGCAATGAAAAGAAGATTTCTGAACCGTTTTTAATAGAATTTATCTGTACTGATTTTCAACTGAAATTCAAATAGCTGGATAGTTGGACTGCTGGAAGGTTATTTTCCCTTTGGAGGTCAGTGTTGGAAGTCTGGGGTGCTGCCGTGGCCGTGGAAATTTGGAGGGGAAACAAGCTAAACATTCCCACTAGGCTTCAGCGTCTTGATTGTTGAAAGCTGTCCGGTTTTTTAAAGCCGAATTAAATGTATGCAAATCTGTTCTAATTAAAATCAGCTTTTAGTGCGCCGCTTGAGGAGGGCTTTGAGTTTCCAGCGGAGGAGAGGACTGATGGGTATTTTTCTCAGGAGTTTCTGCCTTTTTGCTGAAATTTTTATTCCATTCTAAAATATTTTTCTCACTTGCTCAGTTTAATCTGTTTAACCCCATGGGGACTCCCGCTGCTGGAGACAGGCGGGATTATGCCGTTATTTTTACATACGTGGAGGACCAAACTGTGGGCAGAAAGGGGACCAGCACTGTGAAACCATCACGAAACGTGTCTCATTACAGGGGAGAGAATGAAAAATAAACAGTAATTCACTCTTACTCACTCTCACAAAGCTTTGGGGTTTTTTTTTTTCTTAGGGTAGCAGACTGTCCTGATACTTGCTGTTGCCCTGCAAGCCCCAGCTCCCAGAGTCATAAGATCAGGCAAAAATATCAGCTTTCATATCATAGAATCATAGAATGGTTTGAGTTGGAAGGGACCTGCAACGCTAATCCAGGCCCAAC